GCATTTCATCTGGTAGAACAAGAAGCAGCTATAGGAGGCTGGCTATATGGTAGGACTACCAAATACAAAAACTCCACAATACCATATCTGGCACAGCTGTTATGTGATGAGAAATCCGTTAGGTATGACACGATCAACTTACTGCGGCACTCTAACAAATAGTCCCATTAGTTTTTGTTTTCCTTTCCTCGTTACTATTACACTGTTGTTCACATCTTCTATTACACACTAATTTTATATTTCATATCCTGTGGTGCATTGTTTGAAATGTAAACGCTACGCTGTTGTTTTTATTTATCTATTTTTTTTGGTCGTTGCTTTTTACTTTTAAAATCTTATAAAATTTATGAGGTAATTAGATGCAGTATATTGTAATGCACGCTGAAAATTCCATACCTGTACCACAAATACCGTTTGGAATAAAGCTGTTAATATTATTATTATTCATCCGCGGATATTGTTGAGGCATCTGTACTAGAGGGTGATATATATATATATATATATATATCAACAGAGGTCGCTGAACTCTTCGATCCAGCCAATCAGCTGTAGAAAAAATTTGACTTTAACAACAAATAATAATCGATAGCTGTTACACAAAAAGTGACTCTCGTGGCTCAGTTAGTCTAGTTGACAATGTCTCAACGTGTGTTACAATAGTTGCTATTGAAAATATTTATTTCCCGATACAAATTTAAAACAAGCAATAACAAAGGTTAATAAAGCAGGATTTAACGATGGATTCATCAAATTTCGGTAGAACTCTTCCTCAGCTGAATACTCTCCATACACCTTGCAGCAACAAAAAAACAACAAACGGATGTATACCTAAGATATGTTGGTGATAGTTTTTCATTGCCTGTGGAAGCAGATCAAAAGCGGAAGTCATGTTGATAAAATTCAACTCATGCCATCCGAATCTCAATTTCACAATAGAACACGGAAAAAATGATACTATGAAATTCCTAGACGTTTCTCTAGTGAAAAAGACTGATTGCACAATTGAAAGATCTATATTTAAAAAGTCTTCATGGACAGGACAGTACATGCATTTCAAGAGTTTTGTTCCAATCCAGTATAATGAAACGAACTTAGTCAGAACACTGTTCAATAGAGCTCGGAAAATTTGTTCTGACTGTAAAATTAAGCGTGAAATAAAAGCTATGAATGATATTTTTTCTAAGAATGGATATCCTGAGAAGTTCATTAATAAATACTCTAAAAAATAAACCCTTGCAAAACAATCCAAACAGTTCCGAAGAAATCTGTGTATTTCATACATTTATTCCCCTTAATGAATTTGAACAAAGCAAGAACTGTAGTTCAGTGATGCAGATAGATGCATTCATGCTTTGTAGTTCTCATGTTTTTCCATGTTACTCTTCTTCTTATTGTAGTTTTGCTAGGGTTTTTTTCAGGCTCTGTCTTTTTTCTTTGCCTTTTTGTTCTACATGAAGTATAGCAACTTGAACTGGGGCGCATTTTTAAGCTTATTTTTGTTAGTAGCTTGAAAATCCCCATTGAGTCATATGAAAAAGAGAAGACGTTCAGCGAAGAGACTCTTTTCGACAGCGAATTCATTCACATAGCTGTACAATCCCATTTTTATATAATTATTTTTCTGTGTGTGTGTGTGTACATGAGGTTTGTCAAGTTCAGATTATTGATCAGGTAATACAAGAATGATCTAATATAGAAACAAGGTTAATCAGACAGCAACTAAAAAAAGATTGAGTTACTAAGTTAAACGACGTCATGTAATTAACTAAAATGTTTCAACTTAGGTCAGGGCAGCAACAGAGGTAATTACAGGTAGAGACTCAGCAGAAGTTAGGTAGAGAATAATGCTATTTAAATTAGTACTAAAATTGAGCGAATAAGTTGGATGACGTAACATAAATGACTAGAAATTGGGCGTTGTTCAAGTCAGTAACAGTGGTAGTGAGGTGTAGAAATTAAGTCGGGTAGGGGTAGAGAACAAGAAAGTTGCAAGTGTAAAATATTACAATTGAGAAGACAAAATAATACTAATGAAGAGACAGTGGAGAAAAAAGATTAGGTAGAATTAACTTGTCGGATAATAAGATAGATTACGTCCATTGCAAGTTTAGTGATTGAACAAACTTCTGTATACAGAGTTCAGGACTTAGCAAGTGAAACGCCATTGCTTCTGCAGTTTGAAGAAGTCTGATTCGTACACCTTTAGGAAGACTGCCTCGTATTCTGTAGACGACTTTGAAGTTTGTTTTGGGCTGTAGCTTGGTGTCCGTATTCTATCAGATGTTCTAAGATGGAGCTGGGTGGGGGGGCATCGTTTTTCTCCTTTGTAAAATGTTATGTACTCGTCGCTAAATTATTGTTATGGACTGGTCGAGAAACTAATAGTCCTGACGCGAGAAGGCGGAAATCAGAAGACCACTAGGTTTGCGATGATACTTCTATTGTCCAAACACAAGGAGACGAAAATAAATGGTCTCACACCAAAGTGGTAAGTAAGTAAAGTAAAACAGTTCACACAAATTGTGAATGCAAATATATATAAATGTTCCAGACAAGCGTGGGAAAAATCATTAGACAGTCTTAACATGAATGGCTAATTATAATGGAGTGTCGATCCAAATATACATAGAGAATATAGCAGACATGCCAACACAACATATATGGATATATGTCACCAAGCAACGGACTGTCAACAACACTCATATTATATATAATATAATATAAGGAGAATACACATTATTAAAGGAGACAAGTTCATACAAGTGAAGTGGTCACAGACTAACCGAGCAAACAGAAAGAGAGACCAACATGCACACACACACATAAATATATATATATGTGGATACATATCAAAACCATGCTGGTAAGTGTTCGGTGATAGGTTTGGAAAGCGAACGTAGCGTACGGCCGACATACCTGGCTCCACACGAGCAGGTGAATTGATAAATACACATTGATGAGGTCAGCAGTGATAGCTTATCCTTCACGTTTACATAAGTCATAGGTTATGTGGAGAAAGTTAGTCGTAGTTCAGCTGCGAAGAAGGTCCTCATGAGTGAGCGCGACAGTCGATTTTTTAGTGTTTCCGCAGATATATCTCCATTGAATTGAAGCTTTATGTAGAGTAGTTTTTTCGGGACGCTAAGCATGGGCAGCTTTTGTGGTCTAGGATTCATAGATTTTGCAATAAATCGTTCTGGGAAACAATTCTCCACAAGGATTCTCTTGAGATTGTCCAGTTCATCTTCTTTGATGTCCGGCATGGAAATTCTGCGATCTTTGCAGCTGAGTGAACGGATCAGGTTTTGTATGGTGTATATGGGTACCCAACTGTGAAAGTTAGTTAGCTGTCCGTTCCACGTCGACTTTCTGTAGATAGATCTTTTCAGTGTTCTATCCTGTTCTCGTCTTGTTAGTTGGACATCAAGAAAGGATATTTTGAAGTTGGACTCTTTCTCCAGCTGGAACTGAATCACGGGATGGTAGTTGTTATGTTGAAACTTATCCAGTCATGAAGATTTCTTTTCTGTTAAGTCTCACTTTTCAACTGTTTACATCTTTGGTCTTTACTCATTCATCATTTTTGTAGTCTTATTTTTGCATTTCGTGTACGTTGATTGATTCATTTTTACATTCCCTCCCACCGCAAAAGTATGGTGGAGGTATGTAGATGACACATTCACTGTACCTAGAACACAAGATATAGATAGATTTTTCGAACACATCAACTCGAAGGTAGAGGCAATTCAATTCACGTATGAATTAGAAAGTCAGGAGGGGGAACTTCCAATGTTAGATTGCAGTATAAAAAGGAAAGAAGATGGGAAGTTTAACACTAGTGTGTTTACAGGAAACCCACACATTCAAACAGATATTTGGATTTCCTATCATCCCATCCTATGTCAGTAAAAATGGGATTGGTGAAATGTTTAAGTGATAGAGCACAAAAACTAAGTAGTACTAAGGAAAATCTAAGACAAGAAATGATACACATAAAAGAAGCCTTGAAAGTTAATAATTATCCGGATAAATTAGTCAGGAAATATGTAAGGAAATCTAAGAATAAAATAAATAATGGTAGTAGCGATAGTGATGATAATAATAATAACAATGATACCGATAATAATGATGATGATAATATTAATAATAATATTAATGACGACACAAACAATAAGGGATCTCAATCATCAACAGTAATTCCATACAAGGAAGGAACCTTGGAAACCTTACACAGAATTCTTAACAATGATGACAGGAATAAAAGTGGCTAGCATTTAAACTACCCACAAACTCAATTAGAAACAAGCTTTGTCGCTTAAAGGATCAGTCCCGTGGAGCCTTTAAAACAAAACAATTCAGTTTGTCTAATACCCCACCTGCAATGATTTTCAGGTCAAATACAAACGTCAAACTAGTAGAACAGGGCAGTCAGACTAGCAAAATCTAGATTGGTTGACCCAAATAAGATGAGAAATTTAGAGGTTAGTTCAGCCGTAGATAGCACTCACTACATGCAATTACACACAAACATACAATAGGCTGGATGGAATAAGATGACAGTTTTTAAATCTAATGTAACAGGGTTATTGGAGGGAGAGATTGATAACAGAAGCTTTGTTTATCGAATCAACTGCAAACACGTGTAATAGGAATGATTCAACACCTGTCCAGGCAGGTTTCTGGAAAATTCTACTACCCCAACGACGACAAATAGGAGAAGACAAAGAAAGCTACAAAACCCAAGTTTCGAAGTCGTTTGATTACAATTAATATGGTTATGAACAATAAATTGTGTTCGAAATCTTGTCATCCAGTAAATACTAACACTGTTTCACTCACTGAGTGATACATCTAATAAACAAACTAATTTGGAATTACTTACTACCATAGTGCCCAAGTTTTACACATATATATTTATGATTCATTTTCAGTTTTACTGGCGATGTAATTAGTGTTAACGAGGTGTTTATTGTTTTTATTCTTTTCCTCTATTCTAAAAGGGTTATAAAACAATGATATCTCGAACTGGTGTAGAATTATCTATTGGTCAAAAGCAGCGTATTTCTATTGCTCGTGCTCTGATACGTAAACCGAAAATTCTAATCCTGGATGAAGCTACTTCCGCTTTAGACAATCATTCAGAGAGAATGATTCAATCAGCTTTAGAAAAGATTAAGCTTAATCGTACTCTAATAATTATCGCTCATCGTTTATCAACTATACAAAATGCTGATAAAATTGTTGTCCTAGAAGATGGTTGTATTAAACAAAGTGGGACGCATACAGAGCTGGCGTCGACTTTGGGATTATATTCAGCATTATTAAAATTTGAGGTAAGCAGATTTTCCTTGTGTGTGTGTGTCTATGGAATTTTATCCTTTTTATGATTGTTGAAGGCAATATGTAGGAGATCCTACACCTAGCTAGGTTTCTTGCTAGTTGACGTGTCTGAAAAAACTCGAAGGTTGCTCCATGTCTCACGTCCCCCAGGGCTGCTGCGTATTCAAATTTTTTCGGAGGGGACATGAGCGCCTTCTTTCTCTGTCTTTTTTGAACATCGCGGCCGATAGCTGCTACCTTGACGTGGCGGTCGCGGGCTTGTACATCGCGATGACCCAAAGAGCTACACTGGCTGGAATCAATGTTCCTGCAGGTCCTACTATGCCGGGAAGATTGTTAGGATAGTAATTACACTAAAAGCAGTTACCGTAATAGTGTAAGATTTATGTTTTTACGCTATGCTGGGGGTCTTTAGATGAAGTCTTACTGCTGGGGAACAGGGATGTAACAGCCGCAGTAAAGTGTTTCCCTCAGATGACCAGCGTGCCAGCTATGCTGTCTCTCCACTCTAGAGAGAGGGTGTTAGAAAAGGTCGACCTCAAAAATCGTACATCTCGATTTACCCTACGGTGGTGTGTAACCAACGGTGAGTTTACTAATACGGAATAAATCTAAGAAACCAGTTCATACAGGCCGTGTGTTACCCGTCGGCGTTAAGCACTTGTCCCCTGGGCTCTGTGTTCAAGCAACACTAACCCTCTCTCTCTTTCAGGTACCCGAAGAATCAAGCAGCTTCCACGGTGTGGGCAACCGGGAAGTAACAACCGCCCATACATTTCCAAAAGCACTTTGACTTCCTATTTTCAACATAGAGCTTTGCACCGATGTGCAGAAGTCCAAGTCGCAACAATCCATGTCTCACACAAAGCCAGAGAAGAATGTAGAAGAAATGCATAATACAGACAGTAAACAAAAGTGTGAGACAAAGGAATAGTAATAACGAAGAACAATGTAGTTTCATTGAAAATTTTAAGTCACAAGGAATGAATGCATCTGCACCAGCCTGCCATTGAGAACAATCACTTTGAGGCATATCACCAATTGTCTCCAGCCTTCATCGGCTTTTTCTGTCCTGAGGACCCCAACCACTCTACACCTTTCTACGTGGCTGGCGTAAACTAACTGTTGTGGATTTCATTAACTGATGTAGCCATGTTGTGATTTGGCCAGTGCCTTCATGATTTTGAATACCCCGTGCTGACGAGCATGAGTAAGTGCGAATTCTAGGTTCAAGGCTTCCTGTTGATTACTTCCAACAGTCAAAAACCAATTCAGAGTGCATCGCTCTAAGCAGCCGCCTAGCATGGCGACTATATTACAAAGTTGACTGATGGAATTTCGGTCTGCATCAACACCAAGGACTAGAGTACGAACGACATCGGTTACTGCTCAGTGTCCGATAAAAAATATTAATGTTTTTTCTAATTTGCTTATTTTAGATTCACACTACTATAACTTTTTCTCAGCAGTACTTTCATGATTAATCAAGATTTTCTGTGATGTGCCCTACTCCAACGGTATAGTGAGTCATATTAGATGGTTGGAGGCAATCAGCCACAGGAAGCTCTGGACCTAGGTTTTGTGCTAGTTGACACTCCCTAGTCAGCAAGGCGTATCTGCAACCTTGAAGGGACTTACTCATGTCCCTTCTGAGATTTTAACCCGCGTCACCCAGTGGGGCTGCAGTCAGACACCTTACCAAACCTGACTGATAATTCAGTCTGCACCAAAGAAACGAGTTGAAGACATGGAAAGGTTGACTGCTTTCGATCATAGATGTCTACGATCTCTTTCTCACGTTAGGTGGTTTAATAAGGTAAGTAATGTTGACGTTAGATGTAGAGTGCTGGGCAGAGAGGGAAAATCAATCGACGAGGCTATAAAGTTACGTAGATTGAGATGGCTTGGTCACGTGCTGCGAATGCCTAACCATCCCCCATTCCCCCCGACGGGCATTACTAGCTGATAAAGGTGCAGGTTGGAAAAGAGTAAGTGGTGGCCAAACAAAAACATGGCCTCATCAATCCATGAAATCTTGACAGTTAAACTGAGTCAGGTAGAGAGATGCAAACTTCCGGGTTGGGGCCCTCGGGTCTCTAGGAATCAATGGTTGGAGACAATAGGTGACATGGCTCGAAATCGTTGTCAATGACAGCGCAGATGTATTCAGTCTCTGTAGTCTTTCATATTCCTTCTACCATTACCCATTCTGTTTCACTCTTGTACCTGTCAAACTCTATTGATCCTCTTCACTCATCTTTTGTCTACCTTTCTGTGTGATATTTGGAACGTGGCAACTCGAACTGGTGCATTTCGGTGGCAAGTTCTATGTTGAATCCAGACAGACAGAAAGAAACGACTAAACACACCACACTAGTTACTAGTGTCCAATCAAAGTATAGTGAGTGCTGATAATGATAAGTAGATATAAGTAGTATGCAGTGCAACATCTTCAGAAACCATATATTCTTCATGTCGAGGTTTCAAAAGCCATAGCTCAACAAACAATATTCTTTTCGTAACTTCACTTCAAATCTATACAGTCTAACGTGGTGTAATTGAAATACCTATGAAGGTCAATTGTTCTTATGAATTAGTAACAAAACTTATAAAATTATATACAAACTTGTAGCAAAAAGGGTGTTTTCGATATGGTAGAGAAGATTTGTAGCTCAGGTGGATGATTTTGATGCGGTTGTGTTCTCTGAGCTGGATAGTTAATTTGCGACATCTTCAGCGCATACTTCAATTTGAAGTGAGCTTTTATATTTCTCCACAAGTGTATTAGTCACCTTGAGGGTGATTAGTTGTTTTTTGTGTGTTTTCACACCCCTTAGGCTACTTGTATTGAACTGATTGTTTCCATGCCTCTTATTTTAACTCTTTGTGTGTATGAGGTTTCTTTCTTATTGGTTGATAAATTTTGTTTATTTCTATGTTTCTATTGATCGATGTTTCACTGGAATGCCAGGCTGGCTTCTAAAACCATTCTCTAGCATTCTTGGTGTTTCCCCTGTCTAATATTTAGACGCTGGTTGTCCCATTCGAATTGATGTCCGTGGTTGTCTGTATGCAGTGAGGTGATATGATGGAGTGGATATCATGTCTTTTGACGGCTAGTTAGCTTATGGTCGTGGATACGAAGACGAAGGGGACGTCGTCCATTTTGGCCAATGTAGTGTTTTTCGCAGTTGTTACAATTTATTTTGTAGATGATTTGGTTTTATCTTCTTTCGTTGTTGAGTCTTTTGGTTGACACAGAATCGAGTGAAGTGACTTTGTTGGTTTGTGTACGACGTCAGTTCCTAAAGGTTTTAAAAGTCTTGTAGGGATTTCTGAGATATCTTTTATATATGGTAGGGCGATTTACGTTGTGGTTTCCTTGGAGGCTTTTGGTTTGATAGGCGGGCTTAAGAGTATATGTCTTTTAATGAAATCTGTGGATATTCATTCTTTTGGAGGATGTCCATGAGGTAACGTTTTTCAATTTTCCTTAAGTTGGGAGTGCTGCAATGAGTCCTGGCTGGCCCCCTTGAATAGTGTTTGTAAGCAATTCCTTTTGTGTGTTATTGGATTGTTGCTGTTGTAATTCAGTATTTGGTCTGTGTGCATTGATTTCCTATAAACTTGAGTTTCTTATTCCCCTGTTGCTGCTTGCTAGAATGCTGGAGAATTTTAAGAATCTTGGTATTCCAGCGAATCGTCAATCAATAGGCACATAGAAATAGATAAAATTTATCAACCGATAAGAAAGAAACCTCACACACAAAGGGTCAAAGTTCAAGTCAAAGAAACAATCAGTTGCAATACAAGTAGCTGCCTAGAATTTGTGAAAATACACGAGAACAAGCAATCACGTTCAAGGTCTCTAGGAAAGATGATTGATGAACTCGTGGAGAAATCTAAAAGCTCACTTCAATTCGAATTGAAGTATGCGCTGAAGATGTCGCCTAGTAGGGTGATGAAAGCTTCACAAATTAACTTTCCAACTCAGAGAACACTGTCACATCAAGAAGTGTTTTATTATTATATTCTGAAGTTTTGATGCCAGGAATTCAGTTACTGCGTCTCCTTTAAACAGTGAAGTCATGTAATACGCGTTTCTTCTGCACAGTTTACAGGCATTTCTTTCTGCCTGTTCCCCTCATCGAGACTTGAACAACCTAGTTCGAAGCATCCGTTCTTGTGTGAAAATGTTTTCAATTTTCCTTATTTCATCGTCTAGAATGTCGGTTATGCAGCAGATTTTTTGTAGCACGATACATCAAGGTACTGATAAGATTCGTGTGTATGCAACACAGGAACAAATGACTTCAAATGAGTGTATTGGCCAACTTTGACTATTCCCGAAAATATCCCTCTGTATACTGCCATCTTGCCTTCTTGTTAGTGAGCCATACTGAGCCATACTTTTGGAGATGGATCTAGGCATCGGTTTCTATTTGTTATGCAAGATAATTCTAGTGCAGGTGAAGGATAAGTTATTGAATTCGTTCACTTCAATGTGCATATATGAAATAATATAAATCAATAAAAAGAATGAATAAATTATGAAACTTACATAAGTAGTTTTGCGTCAATCTAAAAAATCGCCAGGTGATGAGTAACACTCAGAAATGATTGTCATTAAATCTGTAAGCCTTATGGAAACAGGAGTACTGTTCATAAGGATAAGGGATTCCGAATATGGATAAGGTGTATCTTAAATAATAAAATCAGGAGTTTGAAAGGAAATAAATGCGGGGTCGGGTGAGGTGTAGAAAGCCGAATCAATATGGATTACACACAAAATTACGGTACAAGTTGAAGAAAGAAGGTTTAAAGCTACAGTAGTTAAAGTGAATGGATAAAAACGAATTCTTTACAAACTGTTCAAGGGGTTTCCTTGTGTAATGGATCTTGGCTACATGTGAGCTGTCTTCAGTGGAAGATCTTCATGTACACAGAGAAAACCCTGACGCATGTATACACAATCGGCTTGTCTAGTCCCTTTTACTACCGTGGCTTTAAACCCTGTTTTTCTTTAAAAAATTTGTACACTAACTTTGATATTTCGTCCGTACTCATTTTTTTCTTGTTTTTTCCATCTTTTCTTCCCATTTTCTGATTTCAAAATATCCTTTGTACTCATTAATAATCCTTTACTCTTGTGATGAACAATGTTGATGTTTCCATTCCATATTAGTTTGTTTATTAGATGTATCACTCAGTAAGTGAAACAGTATTATTTACTAGATGACAAGGTTTCGAACACAATTTATTGTTCATAATCATATTAATTGTAATCAAACGACTTCGAAACTTGAGTTTTGTAGCTTTCTTTGTCTTCTCCTATTTGTCGTCGTTGAGGTAGTAGAATTTTCCAGATATCTGCCTGGACAGGTGTTGAATCATTCCTATTACACGTGTTTGTAGTTGATTCGATAAACAAAGCTTCTGTTATCAATCTCTCCCTCCACCTAGCTGTGACATTAGATTTTGAAACTTTCATCTTATCCCATCCAGCCTATTGTATGTTTGTGTGTAATTGCATGTAGTGAGTGCTATCTACGGCTGAACTAACCTCTAAATTTCTCATCTTATTTGGGTCAACCAATCTAGATTTTGCTAGTCTGACTGCCCTGTTCTACTAGTTTGACGTTTGTATTTGACCTGAAAATCATTGCAGGTGGGGTATTAGACAAACTAAATTGTTTTGTTTTAAAGGCTCCACGGGACTGATCCTTTAACCGACAAAGCTTGTTTCTAATTGAGTTTGTGGGTAGTTTAAATGCTAGCCACTTTTATTCCTGTCATCATTGTTAAGAATTCTGCGTAAGGTTTCCGAGGTTCCTTCCTTGTATGGGATTACTACTGATGATTGAGATCCCTTATTGTTGGTGTCGTCATTAATATTATTATTAATATTGGTATCATATTATCATTACCACTATTATTATTCTCATTATTAGTGTTATTATTATTATGATTGTCAGGTCAAACTAGTCTGTCTGTCTGGATTCAACATAGAACTTGGCACCGAAGTGCAGCAGTTCGAGTTGCCACGTTCCAAATAGCACACAGAGGTAGACAAGAAGATGAGTGGAGAGAATTAATAGAGTTTGACAAATATAGGAGTGAAACTAGTAGAACAGGGGCAGTCAGACTAGCCGAAAAAAATAGCGAAATCTAGATTGGTTGACCCAAATAAGATAAGAAATCGAGAGAATAGTTCAGCTATAGGTAGCACTGACTACATGCAATTACACACAACCATACAATAGGATGGGATAAGATGACAGTTTTAAAATCTAATGTAACAGGGTTATTGGAGGGAGAGATTGATAACAGAAGCTTTGTTTATCGAATCAACTGCAAACACGTGTAATAGGAATGATTCAACACCTGTCCAGGCAGGTTTCTGGAAAATTCTACTACCCCAACGACGACAAATAGGAGAAGACAAAGAAAGCTACAAAACCCAAGTTTCGAAGTCGTTTGATTACAATTAATATGGTTATGAACAATAAATTGTGTTCGAAATCTTGTCATCCAGTAAATACTAACACTGTTTCACTCACTGAGTGATACATCTAATAAACAAACTAATTTGGAATTACTTACTACCATAGTGCCCAAGTTTTACACATATATTAACATAATGTGTCAAGTTTATCCAGTTACTCCGTGTTGTAACCATCTATCTACATTCTTGAAGAACAATCTGTATTCACATATATATCTGAGTAGCTTTCATTCTACCACTTAGTCTGTTATCAAGGGACAAACACGTTGAAGATTGGTAGAAACCAGTAGTGGTGCAATCTCTAGTCTCATGATCAACCTTCTATGTTATCCAGAATAACTACCGACAAGGAGGAGTTTATATATCAGTAGGTCGGCTGGGAATCGAACCCAGACCACGCTGGTGATTGATTGACAGGCATTACACAGTTGAACCACAGACATAAACTTATCACTACTATAATAAAGGTTTTTGTATTTCCCAATGAATGAAAAACGAAACGATTTAGCTGTTTTTACTGACGTTTTGCTATTCAATGATGCTAATAGCTTTATCAAAGTAGTATTATTAAACCAGAATCTACAAAATCTCAGCTTATATATCGTTATGTACTCGTCGCTAAATTATTGTTATGGACTGGTCAAGAAACTAATAGTCCTGACGCAAGAAGGCGGAAATCAGAAGACCACTAGGTTTGCGATGATACTTCTATTTTTCAAACACAAGGAGAATGCAAGTAGTGGTATCACACCAAAGTGGTAAGTGTAAGTCACACAAATTGTGAGAACGAAATATATATATAGCCAAATATAGCAGACATGTCAACAACAACCATATATGGATATATGTCACCAAGCAACGGACTGTCAACAAACACTCATATTATATATAATATATAAGGGGAATATACATTGTTAAAGGAGACAGGTTCATACAAGTGAAATGGTCACAGACTAAGCGAGCAAACAGAAAGAGAGACCAACATACACACACACATAAATATATATATATATATGGATACATATCATATATAACAACTTAATTATCGTTCCTCGGCATGGGGTCATCTTTGCGTCATGTTGGCCAATTGGTAAAGATAACAAAACCAGGTGTAGATTTCTGGATTTGATAAGTGTGTAAGATTATAAAAGCAGCGTGTGTTTACATAATGAAATTACTTAATACATTTGTGTGGATTTTGTCCTTTCATGTAAGAGGGTTAGTGTGTTGTAACCAGGTCAAATTCTGTTTTATTCCATAATTGTTATTCAGAAAATTTGGATTCCACTTGATGTGAAGTGCTTCTGATGATGTTAGACGTTCTTTGTGATTTTTGAAATTTTTCTGGTTGATGATTTCAATATTGTCAAAATCAATTTTGTGGCCTGATTCTATAGCGCATAGACCACCTATGGCTGGCTGATGATTTTTCAAGTTTTTCTAGTTCAACCGGACTTCTCGTTGGTCGAACAGATGTGGCTCTACGGTGTTCATTTCTTCTGATTTAGATTTCTCGAGATATTTGTCCGATGTATATCGCATCATATTCCAAGCAGGCATTTTATTTTATAGACACAATTAGGTAGAGAATCTTTAGGGATTTGATCTTTTACATGGACCAGGTTGCTTTGAAGTGTGTCAGATGTTTTGAAGAAAGCTTTTCTGATATCGTCTGACGTCTCTGCTCTTTATGGAATGACGACTGTTGAGGTCCATGTTTTCGGAATGTGATTTCAGCCATACTTAATGTCAGTGTTGATTTTGTTGATGAAGTTCCTTGGTTAGTTGTTTTGCTTGAGGAGAGTTTCAGTAATGTTTGATATTTCTTCTTTATTTTTCTTTCTCATGCGTTAACATCAAAGAGTGTGCTCGTCTAGAAAGACTTGAAACAACTGAAATCTTTTCAGTGATGTGGTGTGATGATCTGAAGTCTAAATATTTATTGGAATGGGTTTTCTTCCTGAATCTGGACATACTAAAATTTCCGTTTTCATTCCTCTTAACTAGGCAGCCAGTCTATAAATGATAGTCCACTGACTTCTGATTCTGCCTGATTCCGAAGTGAACTGGATTCTGGGAGTTACGCAGTTTATTTTCCCCAGGAATGAATTGTGTAGATATCATTTTAGTAATACAAAAGTATCATCTATATATCTTAACCATATTTTAGGAGTGAGTATACTTGAAAAGATATTATTTTCGAATCTATGTTGTTATTAATACTATTTATTTTTTAAAGATATATACAAACATGTTACATATATTTAGCGAATATTCATTACCTTTGTATATTTCTGCATCTCTTTTAATCATTCCGATGACAGATGCCTGAAGTAAATGCTCCGCCTATTAACAGTGAAACATATTCACCCGTAGAAGATGGTAAAATATGGAATGATGAAAAAACTCCACTTAAAGATCACATTCAAAATGATAATGATAATGGTGTAACGATTATAAATCACAAAAAGGAGAAAGAAAGTGATTACAAGGTGAATTCAGTAAGTCAATTTTAGTAGTATTATTAGTAGTATATTGTAGTTGCTCAACAAAAAAACATTTTTTTTTATTTGACTGAATCCAAAAGTGGGACCCTTCAGCGCAGTTGGAATTCACTGATCCACTGAGGATTGAATACAGATTTGAACCTATATATATGATCTACTGGAATAAATTTTGGTTTTTTAGAACACTAATGGATTCTCACTTTGGACTGTATAATTCGTAAATAACGGATAAGATTTAAGGAGAATTTTAGAGAAATGCTAAAATTTTCTCCTAAATTTAGTTTGATTTTAGATTTTCCCGTCGATTGATTGGAGCGAAGTGCTTAGTCTCAGGTTGACATGTCGACCTCTTGTGTGTGAATGCTTCGACAATATCTGGGTACTAGAGTTGAATTGGTGGATAGTGACTAGCAGTGGAATCCAGGATAACGCGCATTTCGTCCTATTTGGGACTTGTCAGCTGGATGTGCCTGCATTCCCCAGTGAGTGATGATGTTTCCATTGAGCACTTCAATCCAGTCAATCGACGGGAAAGTTTAAAGTTCAATTAAAGAATTAAATTAATATGACCCGTTGTACTAGAAGGTGGCTATCATGGCCCAATTATTTTGTAGCATATAACGCTTTGGCGTTTGAAACTACAGTCACTGGGTCCGAGCCTCGATGGGAACATCATCACCTGCTGGGAAATGCTGGTACACCCATCTGACGAGCTCCAAACAGGACGAAATGTGCGTTATCCTGGATCCCACTGCTAGTGAGTCATCATCCACCAATTCTTTCCTCCTAAATGTATTAGAAATAAAATTTAGCCAATTTAGAAAATAAAAAGTGTTTGAATAGATGGTTTAATAAGCTTGATTATGATAACAATAACAATAAATATGGAGCACGTCATCTGAAAAGTCTTAAAGTCATCACTTCCATTGCAACCTTAAAACTAGGACACTGCAGCTACGTAGCTTTTAACTACATACGGACATGTCTATTAACTGTTATCTTGTAAAGTAAAGGGAAACTGAATCAAAATGTTTTCATGATACTTCGAATGTAATCACTGAGCTAAGGGAAATGATATCACTTCACAGCATTTTGTAGTAAGTGGGACGTTTGGCTACTTTAAATCTCTGTTTTTTTTATACATTCAAGGTGGATATGATACTCTTAGGTTCGCTTTAGGATATCCTTGCCAAATTACCAATTCATTCTCTTCAGATGTTATATTACTATTATTATTATTATCATTCTGCTTCTGCCTGGTTGCGAGTGGGACATAGGGCTTCAGAAACACATCTCCAGTCCACTCTGTTTTCTTCACTCCTTCACAATTGTCTCCACGATCGACTATAAGCTTTTGTCTCCTCCATATCACCGTCAGACGCTGAACCCGTCTGTCTGTTTTTGACAGATAACTTTGCACCGATGTGCAAAATTGGAAATTATAAGTCACAAGGAGTGGATACACCTGCGCCAGCCAGCCACTGAAAACGATCACTTTGAGCCATATCACCGATTGTTCCCAGCCTTCATTGGTTTTTGCAGTCTCGAGGACCCCAACCAGTCAGGAAGTCTACACCTTCCTACGTGACTGGCTTAAACTAACAGTTGTGGATTTCATTGACTGATGTAGCTGTGTTTTGGTTTTGAGCCGCTAGTTGTTTTCCAACCTGACCCTATCTCAGCTAACATTACCCACCGGTTGAGGAAGGCGATGACTAGGCATACGTAACACATCTCCTGACCATCTCCATCGGTGTAACTTCACAGCCTCAGTCCACTATTTGTTTACGTCATTTTGTTGTTTGATTATATCGAAGTGAAGCGCTCAGTGTGTGTTGACATACCATCTCTCTCAGCGCGGATATTCAGACGTTTTACTCTAAGAGTCAGCGTGTTGTGCAGCTGATGGTGGCTAGTTTTTGGCAGTAGAAATCACGGCTACTGAATTGATGAGGTCTCAATGGGAGCACCATCACTTACTGGGAAGAATCAGGTACATTGAATCGACCAGCCGCAAACAGGACAAATGTTCAAATAGCTTTTTACTATTGGTAATATTATTACTACTATTATTATTATTAATACTTAGGAGTAATGTTTCATTAAATCGTTTCTTTTATTATTATTATCTATTAAACAGAGTAAAGTATCACTGAAAATGTCAAAGTCGACTGATGTTCGCATAAAAAGTGGTGGTTTTGTAAGTTTAAGGAATTCTTTATCTGTTCATTAACACATTAACTTTATTCTGTGTAAACTCCTTTCAGACGAAGTCATCAGAAAACCAATCTCTTTTTTTTTTTAAGAATTGTACAGTTTAATTATAAGGTGCTATCGATTAACGTAAATAGTAGTAGTTGGATAGCAAACACATCAACCGGATCAAAGTGGTATAAATACCAGACAACCATATCGCCTCTTTTTACCCGAACTTGTCATTGACTCAGGCAGCCGAATCAACTGAGACCACTTGAAAATGCTTTCTAGCTACTTGATTAAACCGTTGATGACCTCAGCCCGTGTATGAGTGAAACCGAACCGTTTAGATTTGACCAGCAAGCATCACTATTAGTGGATGTGAGTTGTATCCAAATACTTATTCATATTAATCAGTCATTAGTACGTGGCATCATGCAGGTATCCTTGCTTTCGTGATTTCAATTTTATAGTATCATAAAGTCCATATATATTTTTGCTCTGAACAATTTCTCGCCAAATGTAAGATCTTACAGGACTGGACTATACTGACTCCTGGTTTCGAGATAGAAAGTGAAGTGGTAGAGTACGTTGACCGCTTTACTTGTTTGAGAAGTACCATCAACCAGCGCCAACAGGTTGATCTCTGACGAAGTCTCCGCACGGATACATAGGGCTAGTTTCGCATATGCCAGTTTACGCCGTCTCTGGCGTAGACGGGATATCCGGCTAGCCTGCTATCGACCAGAGGGCGGGTGTACTACTCATCAGTCCTCTCCGTCCTCCTTTACTACTGTGAGACGTGACCGTTGAGAATGGATGACATTAAAAGGCTGGCTAGCTGTCTGTGATCATAGGTATCTGCGTTCTATCTTCCTCCTGTGTGAAGTGGTCGGTGTAATACAGTGAGTAATATTGAGGTTAGGCGTCGAGTGCTAGGTAGGGAAGGGAGATCAATCGATGAGACTGTAAAGCTACATCAACTGAGATGTTTAGGACATGTGTTACGTATGCTTAGTCATCGCCTTCCTTGCCTGACGGGCAATGTTAGCTGACACAGGGCCAAGCTGGAAAAGAGCTAGCGGTGGTCAAACCAAAACATGGCTTCATCAGTCACTGAAATCCACAACAGTTAATTTAAGCCAGCCATTCATGTAGTAAGGTGTAGACTTCTTGAATGGCTGGTTTGGGTCTTCGGGATGGTAAAAACCAAAGGCTGGAAACAATCGGTTATCTGGCTGGTTGGCACAGATGCATCCACTCCTTGTGACGTATGATTGCCAATGAAACTATATTCTTCTTCGTTATTACTATTCCTTTGTATCACGCCTCTATTTATTGTCTGTATTTTGCATTTCTTCTACTTTCTTCTGTTGATTTCTGTGCTACATGGACTTGAACTGGTGCACATCGATGCAAAGTTCTATGTCAAAAATAGACAGACAGTCTGAACAATTTCGGTTACAGAATTGTGTGCTGTTAAGCATTATTACTAAAAACTTTATTTTTGTGTATCAATGTGTTACATAACTTAAGAAGTAAGGCAGATGAAATGATAGATTGTCATATGTTAAGTTATATCGCAGAAATGATCTACCTACCCTCAAACACTTCGTCTTTTGAAAGGGAGATGGCAAATATTAGAATATGACAATCACTGTACTTATTTCAGAAGTTGACATAAGCTTTATTGTTTGGTCACACTGAGTAAAACTTCAACAAAGATTCAAAATCCCTCCTTCCTAACTTTTCAGATTCTCTCACTGTTTGTGTAGATTTTTCAACAAAGGAAGTATATTCTGTGCAACAGTCTAACGCCATCTATCTATACTACTACGAGATATATGACTTGAAAACGGAAGGTGTAGAAGGAGGACCGCTTTTTGATCACAAAATGAATCCGTGTTAAGTGAATTATTATGACCGGTAATAATGAGACCAGCTTTAGGGTGTTAACAAGGAAGGAGATTCATTCAATGATGCCACGAGACTCTGTCTATCTACCTGGATGGGAGTTAATTTATTTCCTCACTTGTTATGCCATCGTATGAATTCATTTTCATCGTTCTACTGAAACTACTAACACATATTTCAGTAGCATATTCTGCCGAGAATTATTATTCGGTTGCCTTTTTCTTCTCATTATTATTATTTATTTTTTTAACGTTTCCTTTCATATTTCCTGACTGATTTATCATGTTAAATGTGCGCTAGAGAACACTGACAATAAGGAATCTAAATCATCAGTAGTAATTCCATACAAAGAAGGAATCTCGTAAACCTTAGTCAGAATTCTTAACAAGGCAGGAATAAAAGTAGCTGGACTTCAAACCTACAAACTCAATTAGAAACAAGCTTTGTCGGTTAAAGGATCGATCCTGTGGAGCCTTTGAAACTAAACAATTCAGTTTATCTAATACCCTGCTTGAATGATTGTCAGGTCAAATACGTAGGTGAAACTAGTATAAGAGGGGCAGTCAGACTAGCCGAACATATAAACCTAGCAGCAAAATCTAGATTGGTTGACCCGAATAAGATAATAATAATAATAACAGCTTTATTCCAAACGATATTTGCGGTACAGGTATGGAATTTTCAGCGTGCATTACAGTATATTGCATCTAATTACCTCATAAATTATATAAGATTTTTAAAAATCAAAGATAAATATATAAAAATAAAATATATAAGTTATAAATAAATAAAATAAATAAAAATTAAGAAAAAACAGCGTAGAGTATTACATTTCAAACAATGCACCACAGGATTTGAAATATAAAGTTGATGTGTGATAGAAGATGAGAACAACAGTGTAATAGTAACGAGGAAAGGAAAACAAAAACTAATGGGACTATTTGTCAGAGTGCCACAGTAAGTTGATCGTGTCATACCTAACTGATTTCTCATCACATAACAGCTGTGCCAGATATGGTATTGTGGAGTTTTTGTGCTTGGTAGTCTTACCATATAGCCAGCCTCCTATAGCTGCTTCTTGTTCTACCAGATGAAATGCAAGGAGACAGCTGTGTATAGAGGTGTCCGACAATATTGTATTCGCTAGTTTCTTACATGACATAATATGTCTGTCTACAATAGTGTTAACCAGTTGGTTTAACGATATCCCGCTTGCCCTACTAACGGCTTTTAATGCCTGCCCTTCTCAGCAAAGCAAAGTCTTTCTTAAGTAGTCCAGGAAAGACTAATGGGGAGCAGTAAACGGGGATGGGTAGAATACAAGAATTTACAAATTGAGAAAGCAAAGATTGCTTTATGCCAGACTGCCTAAATTTCCTAATGTAGATAGAATGTTAAGCGAAACATCTTTCTAGTAACTAGCAAGATGTGGGAGGACCAGGAGAGATCGGTGGAAAAACTCAGCCCAAGGTACTTGACATTAGATGTATTTCCAACTTCTGTGCCGTCAATGATAGTGGGTCCATGTGAGCTAACTAGTCGTTGTAGGTCACATTTACGTCTGAAAGTGAAATTGACTACCTGACATTTAGACAGATTCAGCTTAAGTGCGTTTGAAGAGGACCACTGACTAATTTCCGACAGAAAGTTATTTAATTTTGAACAATCTGACTGAGAGTTGACAGGCATAGAAACAGAGAGGTCATCAGCATACTTAACAAAAGTGGCTAAATCAGAATTGGGAAAGTCATGTAAGAAAAACGAAAACAGAAAAGGAGAGAGAACAGCACCTTGAGGAACACTAGCTAAATTAAGTGAGGTAGTGGAGGACTTTCCATTGTAGACGGTGTACTGCTTCCTTTCAGAAAAATAGGAATGCAACCACTTATTTATCCAGCTTTCAGCCTGTGTTTCAGCAAGCTTACTTAGCAAGAGAGACCTGGGAACAGAGTCAAATGCAGATGTGTAATCAAGGAAGGCACAGCGAACGTATTTAGCTCCTTTATCTAAACTAGAGACTATACTATGATGTAGAACAACAGCGGCATCTAACGTACACCTACTATGTTTATAAGCAAACTGGTTCGGGTCGTTGAAAGGCTTTAAAGAGGGATCAAGATTAAGTAAAATAAGTCTTTCCATAACTTTCAAAAAAGGTGAAGTAATAGCAATGGGTCTAAACTTAACATTAGGTCCACTTGTTGATTTAGGCACTGGGACGATCTTGGTATTTTTCCATGATTTAAGTATAATACTTTTGGAAAACGATTCGTTAAAAATGCCAGTTAATGGGGAGCACAAGATGTCGGCACACTTCTTAAGGATAACAGCAGGAACACCATCAGGACCGAGGGACTGAGTAGGCTTGAGAGATTGAAGACGCTTGAGGACATCATTCGTGTTAAAGCATGAGAAGCAGTCATTGTTTACACTATTTGAGTTAGGAATCATAACATTTGCTGGGATACATATGAAGGATTCATTAAGCATTTTAACATCTACAGAAATATCATTCATCCTTTGCTTACCACCTGTGATTTCCTTTAATAACTTCCACATATTTGATGGGGATTTACATGAAAAAAACTTCTGGTTATAGAGAGCATTCAATCTTTGTAATTCAAGCTTAATCAAAGTGTTCATTCTCTTAACACCAGATTTGTTTTTTATTTTGAACAACCTTTCCATTATAGATAAGATTTTATTTTGATAAATCGCACAGTGTTTACAGTTATATGAACTGTGCGATTTATCAAAATAAAATCTTATCTATAATGGAATTATACTCTACCACAGTGCCCAAGTTTTATACTTATATTGAACAACCTTTCTTTTTCCCGGCGGAGCTTTTTGAGTTGAGAAGAGGAGAAACGATCGAATTTTAAGAAGATTGTCTCTTTTGGACAACAAACATCAAGACAGAAATTAAGATAATGTGTTATGTTGGCAATTGTGTTATCAAGAGCTTGTTCAGTAAATAAGTCCCAGTTTGTGTCTTTTAACATGGACCTTAGATTCAGTATGTTGTCATGGGAATAACATCTGTGTTGTGTTTTCTTTCCAAGGTATGAGAAGACCCTTTTGTGCTGC